CAACTTGAATTTCTTAATGCAAATTTTCTCCAAGTCAAAGTTTTTCATAGTTTCCATAGTTCAACACTGATCTCTATCTTTTATTCTGTGGAAACATGTATGTTACAAAATTGTTTATTATGCCATACATGTTATGACAAAGCTGATGGAAACTGTATATGCTATAAGCACAAAAACAGGCAAAGTATGTATGCTTATTAGCACTTCACAATATGTTAAAAAATTTGTTTAAAACAAACCAAACTGCTAGATATTAGCAATGTCGTTTATAATCTGTTAATTTATGCTGAAACTTATCAGGAAGCTCTTCATAAACAAAAAAAATCGCACCTTTAAAAAAATTTACTAAATAATAACACTTTTGATCAGCTTACTGACCTTTTTCAGTTACGATATAATAGAATGTGAATACAAAAATTTAAAAACAATAACAAGAATTCTAAAATAAATAAAAAAAATAACAGAAATCTTAGTTGAGATTAATAAAATAAATAACTACAGAAATGAAATAAAAAGTAAAAATAAACAAATAAATGTCCCTTAATAAAATTAGCTTACATTAAAGGACTGCCATGTGGTAGACAAGCTGTTCGCATCTCTATGATTGATGCAATCAGATTTTTTTTGTGCTGTAAAAATTTCCAATTTTTCTAGATATCTCATAGCATGTATATTAGATGTGGGTCTGATGATGGTTGCCTGCTCCCATTGTACAGTACTTGTATGTCCTGATGCTGCAAGTAAGCTGCCAGTGTTGTATTATTGAGATTTTTATCAATTGTGTATTTTTTATTTATTTTAGAATTCTTGTTATTGTTTTTAAATTTTTGTATTCACATTCTATTCTATCATAACTAAAGAAGGTCAGCAAAGCTGATTGAAAACTATTTAATAAATTTCATTGCAAGATTTTTTTAAAGGTGTGATTTTTTTTTTTTTTGTTGTAATCTATCTATCCAGTTGATACAAAATATATGACTCTTCATCACTTGGAAAGACTCAATGTCCTCTCAAAATTTTGATACTTTACTTGGACCAATGTCAGAATGTTTACTAGGTTGTCCCCCTAATTGTATTAGCTTGCTGACTCTCTTTATGTACACATCTCAGATGTAATGAGTGCATCATCAAACTCTTCAAATTCTTAGAAACACCCAAATATTAATAAATGTTGAAAAAACACAAAGTTTTTCTAGTCTCATCTATTGTAAGATGGGGCTAGAAAAAATATGTTATTCCAAGCTAGAGATCTCCTGAAAGGAGATAAAATTACATTAATTTGGTAGGACTTGGGAAAAGTCTGTTCCAAGAAATCAGCTGTTTGCAATCTATTAAAATGAGATTCTAATATATAGTCATTTTAGGATAGCTACATTTTTGTTTTTATTTTGTATTCATTGATGATATGCTTCTTATTTATTGTAAATTAATCTAAAGAATTTATGTTGTGTCTGTTTGAATTTCTGTAAAAACTATGTGCTAAGATTTAAATCATGTGTTTGGAATCTTTTATTGTACTTTTTAAAAATTTATAATTCAAATATTATGTACAGTACATTCTGCCGGAAAATGACATTTTGAAATGCCAAAAATACTTGTTTATGTTAAAAAATTTTCAAGTAAGTGACTTTAATGCTGACATTGTTGTTTTTTCTTAATCGGAAGAAATTGACTAGAGAAAGCAGACCAAAATTTGAAGTCAGTACAGGTAGCCCTCAGTTTACGCTGGCTCAATTTATGCCGATTCACAATAATGCCGTTGCGCAATTTGCCATTTTGCAGTGTAATTCCCCGATTTTCATTTCAGTGTTGACATATTTACTAAGCCGCAACATTGTACATTTGCTAAAACAAAGATTTTTATTGAATATATTTATTTTTTCAGTTTAATATTATTGGGTATGCATTAAATTAACATTACAATACTAATACTAGGTTCCCACGAGTCAAGTTATTAAATAGTCCAATAAATGTCATCCGAATCCAGAGCACTAATGAATGCGAATAGTTCGTATCCCGTATCAGTTCATTTAGGATGACACCTTACGACACAGTAGCACTTTCGGCGATCACAAATTATCGTTAGTGAGATGACATCTACTTCTCATTGGCCAGGCGATATCTACTTCTTGTCAGTTGGATGATATCTAACTCTCCTTAGTGAGATGAAACCAACTCCAATTTTTCTGCCCAAACTGACCTTATATGTGCGCTACAGCACCTGGTGGTCGACCAATCAGCATCTCCGCTCGTCTGTAGCTCTATTTCGGGTTAGTGTATCCTTTCAACTATAGAAAGTTTGACAGATGAACTTTGTGAGTTAGACAATGATTAGGAGTGAAGTGCAAATATAAAAAGAGGATCATTACATCCATTCGACCATATTCCAAAATTATTAATGAATGAAAACAAAAATAAAAAAAATTACAAATGGATACTTTTTTCCGAAAAATGTAAGAGATCTGAAACTTTGAAATATCATTTGTTTTTCTTAAGATTTTTTAATAAAAATGTTTCATTTTATTTTATCATAAAATACATTTCTAAAAATTAAATTTATAATATATGTATTTTGTATTATATTGTATTAATAAACAAAATTATTTGCTTATTTTTCATTATGTAGAACCTAACCCTATACCTCACTGTAAATATGGGTTCATTTTACATCAATTCGATTTGCACCGGCTTTTGTAAAAACGGAACTGCGGCATAAAGCGAGGGCTACCTGTATATACCTTGTTAATGGTGGATTTTTTTTGAAAATTTGAGTGGTAGACCAAAAAAGATTGTCATTGTGTTTTATTGATATTAAATACTCTAAGTTTTTAAAGTGTTCCATTTTCTTGGTCATTAATAAATTAAAATATATTCTTTTACTCATTTTGTAATTTGTGAAGTAATCCTCTATTGGTTCTTTTCTAAATTGTAAAAACTTCTAAATTTTCTTTTGTTTCAATTTATAACAGTATCATACCATGATTTTTTAAATTGAAGTAATTTCTTTCTGCCTTCTGATTGTAACCCAACAGATTCTTTCATGATTATTTCTAGTTGAAGATACATCTCATTCCCATTATCCATTGAAATTTCTGAAAAACATTTCATTTTACTAGATATTTCTAATTGAAATTTTTTATAATTATAATTTATTTTTTGACAAAATAAGAATTTGGAACTAGTTTTTTGGTGATAAGATGAAGCAGCAAAATTTGAACCATCAGAAAATGATCTACTGTATCACAGCTTGAAACTCTAAATATATAACTGATCTTCCATTATTTGTGACAGATAAATTCAGGTGGACTGTCACTCTGTATATGATTATTTAATGTACACAATTTCAAGTCATGAATTTGCTTTAATAGTTCTAGATCTATTTTGTTATATTTTTATCTTTAGATTTGTTCTGTTGAATATTAACTCATTTGCTCATTCTACCAACTATGTAATATAGTGGTTCTTAACCTTTTCAGAATTATGGAACACTTACAATTTTACAAGATTTTTGCAGAGCACAGTCGTATTTATATTGTATAATAAATTAAAAACCACATACATAACAGTTTACGTATTAGTCAATAGCAAATAATAATTAGTAAATGAAATTTTAAAAAATTGAAAATTGTCACAATTTTTTAATGGAATATTTCGGCCTGATGACTTTTATAAATGTTTTCAATATCTGGTCTTATGTGTGAAATAGCTACTCTCATTTTTTCTTCTATATTTGTTAGCCTTACATGTTTCTTTGTCTTAATATTCGTTAACTGCTTAGCACTCTAGAGCTTTTGTGTTTAATACTTAAGATTAAAAAAAAAAATACAGTAGAGCGTCAATTATCGGAAAGAATTCCAGTCGGCAAATTTAAATTTTCACCAGTGCTGTGGCGCTGCAATCTTTGGCTATGTCTTGGGCTACTCAAATATTTTACGTTTTTGATACTAAATTAACTTCTGAAGTATAATTTTTTATTGTTTTTATATTTTTCAATATATTTATTTTGTTTGTACAAAATAAAAAAATAATTTTTAACGATACAATAGTCTTCGTTAGGCTTAACATAGACGAAAATTCAACGTGAAGCGACACGCAACGGAGAAAAATGTCAAGATGGGATAGGTTAATATATTTTTTCGTACATAATCGGTTATCCGAAATATCAATTTTCCGAACAACCCCAGTCCCCAATTGATTCGGATAAATGACACTCTACTATAATAGACATTTTTCTTGAAATATGGGCAAATTGAATATACAGTAATACCCCAAACTTACGCGATAGGTGGGACCGAGCGATAACTGCGTAAGTCGGAGTATAATTTCGCAGTTTGTGTAAAATCCAAGTCAGATGTATGTAAGCTAATAAATGTTCTCGTTAATATCATCTTGTCTTTTGATTCGTTCACGGTTACAAGAAATCACCACATAGAGTCTCTCAAGTCTCTGTAGATATAACAAACACAGAAATAAATAACACAAAATAAATTGTAGCTATGTGTCGGTTCCGCGCTACACGTCTGAACATGTAAGCTGAACAATAGTGTGGGGGGAGTGAGTAATCAAGAGTTGTGTGGCGCTCAAACAAAAGACGAATTGACGAGATTTGAAAATTGTGTAATTCCGGGTTCACGTGAGTCGGGGTAGTGTAAGTCGAGGTATTACTGTAGTCAAATTTTTCTTTTGACTTCTTAAATGTCTTTCTGAAATAAAAATTGAAGTAGTGTTTAATGTCAAAGACATTAGATATTGATCTTAAATAAATAAATAAAAATATGTTGTTATTAATTGTTATAATTGCTAACAAGCATTATAATGATAATTTAGTAGAATGATGTCTTTAGAGCAGTTAATGGAATTATACATAATAATTTAAAACAAAATTATAAACTGTAAAGTATTAGATATGTAGTTTTATTGTAATAATGTATTTATTATAATTAAAACTATTTATAACTAAGAAATTATGTGTAAAGTTAAATGATTACTAATAATTAAAGAATTTCATGTTTTAGATGTCCATTTTCATCATGTGAAAAATTATTCAAAACTCAGCGTACACTAAATAAACATGTAAAAAATATACATGAGAAAAGAAAATATGTGGTATGTGTTTTTGCTTTTAATTTTGTTTTAAAATTGAATTTTTATAATCAATATAAATGATATATTTTTCATTTGGAGTGTTCAGTTTGTTCAAAACCATTCAGAAAGAATCAGCATCTGAAGAGTCATGAATATGAACATACTGGAATTAAACCATTTCTGTAAGTATCAATCAAATATATTTTAATTAAAACAATTAATGACTAATAACTGCATTAATGTAAATTGAAAATATCCATAAACAATCAAACTTGTATAAACTTACCATAGCAAATTTTATTTTGGCAGGTTTCCATTTTGAACAGGTTTTAGTATTTTTTTCTTTTATCCTTAAACTATACAGTATAAATTTCACACAGTTATGTTCATTTTTCTAGTAAAATAACTTTCACACAGGTAAAAAAAATTTTACTAGGTTTAATCCAAATTAATCCAAAATGATTCCAACTAAAGAATTGCACATTAAACTGGTTTCCAGTTCTTAGTAAAATTTAATGTAGAAAATTATTATGCTCTGAAAGTTTATTTAGACAAGTTTCTGCTTAATTTAGGTTCCATTTTAGACAAGTTTACTGCTATATTTATTCATTGATTAAACCTAATAAATACAATAGAATGACAACTTTGAGATGTTCATTGCTTGCAATGTATCTGTAAAAAATTTTTACCTATGTTAATGATTGTGTGAGGTCTCTCACTACAGTTTTTTTTTTAATGAAAAGTATTTATATAGTGAGAAAAGTGTAAACTGCACATCATCTGGGTTTAAAAGTTAGTGAAATAGGAATTTTTCAGATTTTTAATGAAATTTTAAATATAAGAAAAGTTGAAAAATAGGTGCTTTGGAGCTTGTGAGACCCCATATGACTTTGAGAAGATTAAAATTCTTATAGAATGATTTGTTTAATTTGCAAGCAAATTTAAACAAAATTATTTTTAAGATATTAGTAAGAAAACGTTGTAAAAATATCATTATTTAACAGCAGTAACAATAAATTTAACAATAGAATGTAAATTAATCTTTCTTCTTTTTGTTACATTTCACAAATTTATGTATTCACTTTGAATTCACATTCATATTTAATTTTTGTTAGTTTAAACATCTATTTTTATATTATAGACAGTTACAGTGGTGATGTGTTGATTAGATTTTTCAGACTAATTAATATTGACTCAACTAAAAATAATGCTTTAGAATTAATTGGGACAACAAAATCTTGGTTTCCTTCCAAATGTGTTTAGTTTTCTCTGTTACCATTTTTGCTAGTTTGGTGCTTTTTTATTATTATTATGTTTTGTTATGTTCTAGGTTTCTGTTTCCAAAAGTCTTTCTGTTGTTCTTAAACAATACAGCATTTTTAAAATTTTTCTTTAAAATCATTTTATATGTATGACTTTCCTCATATAGTTCACTTATCCTGTTGTTTGTGTAATCTGCACAAAGTAGGTAGTCATTATTGGTATTTTGATTAAGAGTCTTGATTATTCATAAGTAAATTTTTCTTTGTACTTCACAGAATTAGGAAAAATTTAGAGGGACCTAAGAGCTTTATTTAGTTAGGAAATGTTTTAAAATCATTTCAGATATACTTTTATTTTCATTTAAATATAATGCAAAGCATAAAATAAATTAAACTTATAATGTAGAAACTAAAGTCTATTTTCAATTGACCAATCTAACAAAAATTAAATTTGTAGATGTTAAATGGGTCAATTGAAAATAGACTTAGTCACTTAGACTTCAAGTCATACTGCCCAGCAACAACAGACATTAGACATCTATCCACTCTCTGCCTTTGCTATTATACTCTCACCTTTTGAAAATAAAAACCGAGGCAAAACTTAACGAGTGCCCGCCTGACAATCTCAGGAATACTATAAAAAAATTCTTTCTGTCAGAAAAATAAAAGGTCGGAATTACAAGTGAGAGTTTCAAAGTTTGGAGAAATACTATCCAATCATATATACCGAGTTGATCATCGATGTCAATGTCTCCTGCGCTCCAAAAAGTTTCAAATTGTTGTCTGAAGACAAGGGAAGGCCAATCGGAATTCATTATTTTATGTCGTTTCTTATTGTGTTTGTTCTGTGAGGTGTTCGTTATCCTGATCATGTGTTCGTTGTCTGAACATAAAAATCTTTTGCAAAAGTGTTTGTTAACCTATTCGATGTTGAAATTTTTATCTGTTGCCTGTGATGCCATGTTGAATTTTTGTCGATGTTAAGCCTAAAATTTTTTTTATTTTTAAATAATAATCGTGTTTACTGTATCATTAAAAATTATTTTTTTATGTTTCACAAATAAAATAAATATATTGAATAATATAGAAACAAGAAAAAATTATATTTTAAAAGTTTGTTTTAATATAAAAATTGTGACGTGTAGCGACATCTAGTATCAAAAACATTCCAATGTAAACACGAAAATATTCGAGATTGCTCATGCAGGTCAATGAGTTCAACACGAATATTTTCGGGAACAACATAGGACAGGTTAACTGAACTGTTCACTAACCAATCACCCATTGTATGTTGTAGCTCATTTCATAAATCTTATTCCAAAGCCCAATATTTTAGTAATGTCAAACAGTTCCTGGATTAAATCAGGCTACTTTACTGCTACTATTTTTAATTAAATTCTAAGTAATTGGTACTAAAGATAGGTAATTTAATGAGAGATGGTGCCTAATGCCTACCTCTAGTATTAAATTACTTATAATTTAATTAAAAATAGTAGCAGTGAAGTAGCCTGATTTAATCTGGCAATCATTTGGCATATCATAAATCTTGGCTAGGCTGTAAAAATGTTCAGTAGCAAGACCAGTCTGTTTACTTAGCAAATAGATTGTTTGACGAATGTTTGATAAGGTCACTGTACATTACCAAAACAAGGCTCTTAAATTTTATGAAACTTTTAGAGTCCCAACTAAATAATGTGCATTATCTGGCCAAGTTATATGAACTAATATGTGTGTTTTCTATTAGCAGCCATTTGAAATTATTAAATATAATATTTGAGAAAAAATTGATTTTAACATTCATGAACACTGTTGATTATTATATATAATAATTTGTTAAATTAGAAACATTGTTTAAAAGTTTTTGTTATGATAGCTTATATTGATAAATTTAAAATTTAATTGATAATTATTTTGTGTGTGTGCAGAACTTTGTAATAAAATAATAATTAGTAATTGATGAATATTTCTTTGATTTTTTCCATAAAACTGAGCTGTTTAAATAATCATGCGTTCATTAAAATTATAATAGTAATAATAAAATAAACATTACAAAATTGTCATGCAAAATGAATTAATAAAATTAAGAATTTTTCCTAATGATTTATTATTTTTTTTTCAGTTGTCAACATGAAGGTTGTGGTAAACGTTTTATTGTTCCAAGTAAACTTAAGCGTCACATGAAAATTCATGAAGGTGATTTACTTAAAGTTTTTTAAATTTATATAATTTGTTCAATAGAGTTTTGTAATGAATAAATAGTTGAAAAACTTATGACTTTCTAAAAATTAAATTTTTTAAACTTAATTATGTTATTTAAAAGGGTTTTATTTGCAATATTTTCAAATAAAAATACATTGTTTATTATTTGTTGTTAAATGAAAAAATGAGTTTCATTTTTGAATTTAAAATTTTATTGCCTTTATCTTTTTTACATATGGTTATTGTTTTTGAATTCCTGCTAGGAAACCTTCAATGTATTATTGCTTTTATTTTATTTTCAAAGATAAATGCAAAGTTTAAAAAATAGCATAACAAATCCACTTGTAATAAGGGAATGAATTAATTTCATATAGAAATTAAAAGAATATGAATATGAATTGTGAGAGAAACAAAATTATGAATAAAACTTTTATGTAAAGTGCTGCTATTGAAATTACTCTTGTGCTATGTACATTTCTATGAGATTCAAGTTTAGTGTTTTTACTTTCCTGGCTGTTATATACAGTATAACAGAGGAAAAATATGGCAATTGGGCAAAAAAGTGACCCCCTCCAAGATTTTTATATTTTTGGACTCAGGACATTGAAACATTGAGAAATGCAAAACACTTTTGGGGTTTTTTCCCCTGTATCTATGGATTTTAGGGTTTTTGAGTATATGTGGCACAATTTTGTTCACCCACTTTGAAGTTTACTTATTCTTGTCTTTTGTCAAAAATTTCTTAAATTTTGCGGGGAGATTTGTGTATTAGGGGATCAATGCTACTAAATTTTGGTGGTTAAAGGTTGAGGAGATGGGGAGATAAAAGGGGTCATGTGTCATCTCAAGTGGGGTCAGACTTAATGATGATTTTACTAATTATTAGTATTTACAATTTTTTATAAAATTCATATCATCCTTCAAAATTAAACTTTTTTCCATTTTATAGTAATTAATAATATAAAAAGTTTTCTAATAAATTATAACAACAGATGTCCCCTACCACAATTTTAAATTTTTTTAGTGGAAAAGTTAAGCAACTTGTTGCTAGATTTTTTCATGGTATGAAATTTATAATTACAGAAGACTGATTATTATGTGATTAGATAGTTAATATTGATAATTTAAATACTTTTTAATTAGATAAAATAATAGATCAAAACATAATAATAGAATTGATCAACTTTCATTTGATTTATGAAAATAATTTTCTTGCATTAAGTACAAAAATAAATAAAATTCTTCGAAAATTATTTTTATTATTTCTTTAGCTTCGTATTGTCTTAAGATAATTTTTTATTTAATTATTATTAATTGAAAATAAATTTAATTAAAGAATAAAATGTTATAGGTTACAAATGTGATGTTGATGAATGTAATGCTGTATTTGAAACTTGGACACTTTTAGTTCAGCATAGGAAAACTTCTCATCCACTAAGTAAGAATTGATTTATATAATTTTGAAGTTTAGTTTAGTTTATTCTTTTAGTTATATTTTAAAGAAGAAAAGAAAGTAGTTTATATTAAATGTATATTAACTACAACTGAAACTGGTTGTATATACAACAACACAAAATCACCTAAAAAAGTAGTAAAAACCAAAAATATTTAATGCTATGAATATTTAATGAATTTTGAATCTATTTGATTTAATTAAAAAAATGTTCTGTCAGTTTATATTTGAGAATACACAATGATGCACATTATAGACAAAAGAAAATGTTTGTAGCATTAAATATTTTTGTTTTTTACTGGTTTTTTTTTTTGGTTATTTTGTGTCAGTTATTAAATCTACTTTGTTTATTATATTTGTTACAGTATGTTGAAATTGGTAAATTAATAAAAACTAAAAATAAAGTAACTTTTAGATCTTGGTTGCTTGCTGTTCTCTTTACTATATGTATTTTTTTAGCATAAGGTTGCTGTTGAGAACAAATCACACAGGAACACTTTTAGTAGAAAAAGGTCTGTTTATTGATAGGAAAGGCTATGCATGTGATATGATGTTGCTTAATTCTCCTCTTCAGTCCTGAAATTATAGTGACAGTTAGTATAATGTGACTCATGAGAAGACATAGGTGAAAAAAGGGGAGGAAAGTGGAGCTAAAATTCTTTTAGCTCTACCCACATTAGAATAGTATAACAACATGTGCTGTAGAATGTAAAATAATTCCGATGAAATGTACAAAAAACATAAACCAGATAGGAGAGGTTGAAAAGATGTGAGTATTTCCTGTATCGTTCACTGAACCTTATGCTAAGAAAATACATAAAGTAATTTATATATAATAACTATTATCATCAACCATAACTTTTTTAACTGTAGACAATTTACATAAAATAATAATTTACAATGTTTTTTAGTGAAGTCATGATGATAATCATCAACAATTAATTATGATTTAATGAATTTTAATAGTAAGAAAAATAGTAGCTAAAAAAAGCATACTAATTCTTCACAGCTGAAAATTAAAACATTAAATGCAGTTTTTGACTGTTTTTTTCTTAGCTTTGAAACAGGAATTGGCCCATTAAAAATATTATAGAAGCTAATGATTATTAATATCTTCTTGTTACTTTGCCTAATCTCTGTTTACTTTCAAAAGTTTTTCTCAAATTTTTTTATTGATATTTTGTCTAAATTTCTTAACAGTCTCTATGGAAAATCTGCTTTTTAAAAATCTTATTTACTCTTATTTCCATTGTTTTTAGGAGCTATGTATTACTTATTTTGAAAAAGCATTATGTAATTTTTAATGTTTAACTTGTTAAAATTTTTGCTTTTCTAAGATCATATGAACAACTTTAAATTAGAAATAGAATATAACTGAATCTTACTTTTAATAAATACAGGTATCCCTTGTACAGTATGACACTTCTACAACATGGTTTAAGGGGAAATTCCTCATACAACAGGCTTTCATTCTAACATGGTTTGAGAATTTGGGAAATCATCCATACAAAATTTCACAATTTTTAAGTGCAAACTGTTATTCAATACTTTTTTTTATTTAAGTAAGCATGCGTGTTGTCTCAAATTTTCCCATAGATTTGAGAATAATGAAATTTTCAATTTGTTTTGTGCCTTTTGTCAGGTTTACATTAACAAAAACTGATAGTGCAATTTTTTTCTTTCTTGTTTTAGCTTTTTTATCAAGCAGGTGTTGTCGTTACTTTCACATTTTAGCCTTTAAGACTGTCACTGTGTTTTGTTTTTATAGATATTAATTTGTATTTAGTAAAGTAACACTTACCTAAAAATGCTTTATTTAAACATTTCTAGGTAGGTGTTATTAAACTTTTTTAACTGTAGGTAAGTAATCATTTGTAAAAATGACAAAGAAATTTGTTCAAGTTGGGAACAATTCAAGTATCAAGATACTTGAATTGTTCCCAACTTGAACAATTCAATATTCAAACACAAATTCTGGGGAAAAATCGCTCAGTACTCAACTGAACAAATGTGACCTGCTGGAATAAATATTCAATTAATAACATATTTTTATTTTGTCATCTATTAAAAACTTTTTATGATAAAAATAAAAAATAAAGATGATGTTGGTATATCTTATCAAGATTATCAGAAAAGCTCAGATGACAATACTTTGTAAAAAGAAAACACCCTCATTTAACTAAAATCAATATTAATGTGTAATGTAGTACTTTTAATTGTGATTGATTGCTTTAATAACCATATTTCTGTTAGTAATGAAAAAGAATAGTGCATTTTTGTTAACTTTTGGAACCTAACTCTATGTTTCATATAGCATGGATTAGCATAACACTGCACTTTTTAGGAACCTAACTACCATGCTATACAAAGGATACCTGTGACTTGTTTCTTGATAAACAGAGAACAGAATCAATATCCCATAAATGTAAAACTTGGCTTTAAAAATTATTTATACATCATATTTCCTCAATTAAACCCAGTGAATTAATTTTTAAAACATTTATCCTCTGGGACTTCTTGAGGCTGTGGTTTATCACCTTGCAACAGGAGACAAGTGGGTAAAAATTGAAAGAACTACCTTAATTATTTGTTTATTTTCAAAACTGTTAAAATCATTTATTGACTGTATTTATGGATTACGGCTACAACATTTGAAGTAATTACTGTTTTCATAGCTGACTCAGCTTAGAATATTTTAATTTGGTTGTTACATTTTCATGTGTGTGTATTTTGATGTTGTTACTATAATTGGGATCTTGTCTACTAACTTCTTGTTCAAACTCAACATCTCTAATTCAAGTTTTTCTAATTACCCTTCAGTTGATAATCTCTCAACTTATGAACTTTATTTCAATTTTCCTATGCTCAATATTTGACAATGTTTATAATTTTATTTCCAAAAATGTTTTCATGAACCTTGGAATAGAAAGTGCAACCTGACTTAGACAATTTGAAATAGAATTTTTGTTAAACTTCTTACTTGCCATTCTAAACTATATTACCCTAACACAGTGCAATACTTCAACATGTTTCCCATGCTTTTCTACCCAGGATTTATTTTTAACAGTATTTTTATATCCAGAGTTTAATTGAAGCAGTAGGGTGTGTTTGTGTATACACATATATTTTATTTATATATATATATATATGGTATTTATATTATTATATAACTAAATCATTTTTTTCATTATAGATTATACATGTGATATATGCAAGAAAAAATTTAAAACAAGATTTAATCTTCAAAATCATCTTACAGTGCATGAAGAAAATAGAATTGTATTTCATTGCTCTTATGAAAATTGTTCAAAATTTTATTTTGTTAAAAGAAATTTATCTTCACATATAAAAATACACCATGAAGGACGTAAATTTTCATGTCCTCATGAAGGTTGCAATGAACAGTTTGCATATAAGGTAAATAAAACTTTATAAAATAAAGTGTCAATAAGTTTAATCATTTCATATAAAATGTTTTGTTGTAAAAATTGCTTTAGCTAGTTTTCCATGATCATTATATTGTATGTATTTAAATGCAAATCTATATAAAGGAATAAGCTTATATAATAATGTAAGTTTATTCCTTGATATATAATAAATAAAAAATTGTTGCAGAATTCTCTAAATTTTACACTTACTTCAGTTTAAGAAGTTTATTAAAGGAATAAGCATTGAATATGTCATGCATAGCCAATCAGAATGCATGCAAGTTTTATCTGTGGCATGTAATACATATTATGCCAATCAATACAAGTCTAACATAGCACTTCAGTCAATCAGAAGTGTTGCCATTATTTCTCTCTCACTTCAAAAATTTATTCGACTATTTCAAATACTTACAGTACATTTTGGTTTAAATGTCTGTTGTAATCTGCACATACAGTATTTTGATAGTAGTAACATATTTATTCAATACTTTCCTAATTACTTTTGTGTTTATAATTGTTTGTGATGAAAATAATTCTTGTTCTGGATGATGATGATGGCACTGTATCTGGTCATATTACAGTGTGATTCTATCTATCTTATAAAATTTGTTTTCTTAGTTTTTTGAAAGTAATTTTAATGTAATAAGGAAAACAAATACAATTTACATTGCAACATAAAGGAAATCTAATAGAGATTATATATCATGTATACATTAATGGCACAATTGTTCTGCATACCTACTAGTACCATACATATTTGAAACATGAAGATTCACTTTTAGGTTACTTGAATTCTTTATTTTACATAAATGTTTTTCAAACAATCAATCATCTCAAATGCTATGTATAGAACTACAGGTATACCTCGCCTTACGTCGGTAATTGGTTCCAGGAAAACGACGTAAGTCGAAAAACGACGTAAGTCGAATTCACCTGTCTCCGAATCTACTTATCACTAGGAAAGCATTTTAAATAATATATGGTTAATAAAAATCTATTTTAAGCTTACAAACAAATAAATTTTAGTTTTTAATATAGTACAAAAAAAATAATCTAAATTTACGAATGCGTGTACTGTAAATACAGTACATACTTGTATATATTTTAATATGATTTTATGTGCTTTAAACGTTTATCTAGTGATATTACGACTTCATTATTTGTGGCGGACAGACGTAAAGTCGAATAAAATGACTTAAACTTGATTTTTATTTTTCCATATACTTTTTTAACAAGCGACGTATTATCGGGAACGACGTAACTCGAAACAACGTAAGTCGAGGTATGCCTGTATTTAACATTAGATGTTGATGATTGTTGTATGTCAATACATTGATATGCAAGTCACCCATACAAATGTGTACAAATTAATGTTTTAATGCAGTGTTTCCAATCTGTGGAGTGTGTCCCACTAGGGGGGCATGAGACTATTGTAAGGGATATTGCAGCTCTTACTGAATTATCATTTTTTAATACAAACAAACAAAAAAAGTCAAATTGATGTTGTAAAAATTTATCAGCAAAACAGTTATACCTAATTCACAACCCTTATCCAAATGACTTGGGTATGAATGCTAAAAATCCATCCACACTCTTGTTGAAACATCTTGACAAGAGTCGAGCCCCAGCAAACAATATACTTTATTTAATAAGGTTGTAATTTAATATTGTTTTGTAGGCCATTAAATAAATTATAAGGACAGTATTTATGAAATTAGATTGTTACAAAAATTGAGGGGGCACAGCAATTTTTTTTCTGAAAAAGGGGGGCAGAGATATGGAAAGTTTGGAAATCACTGTTTTAATGAATTGATTATATTCCATTGATATATTATATATATATATATTCTTAGCATAGTTGATCATATTGATCTTATATTTTTATACTGATTGCAATGTTTTCTAACTTCAGGATAGATTATTAATTTTAGACAACAATAGAATATTTAAAACAAATTTTGTTTTTTATTTCAGAAATCACTTAAATATCATTTGAAACTTCATTCTGAAGGAAATACTGAAAAATTGGTTTGTTATTTATCTTTTTATATTAAATGTAACATAAAAATAAACCAAAAGTACTAATTTTATAAAATATTTAATGTAAATAATTTTATCAATGTAATTGTGAAATTATTTTTTATAGATATTATGAGTTTGATTTATTCTTACTTGAATGTTTCATTTATGAATAATATATTTTTAACTCCAAAGACCCCTTTCACATGATTCAGATATTTACCCATTTGGACAGAATCTAAGAATTGAATATTGCTTGGATGAGTAGCAGTGTATTGTGAGGCATGAAACTTTTCACACCACATGGACACAGTGAAATCTCCATCTAGATGACAAATCTGCTTGAATCTTGTGGAAAACATCTGTTCTCTTCCAGCTCAAGGACTGGAGAACAGATATTTTCCCATGTTGCAATCTAGCAGAGCATTGGAGCAAATGTGTGTCTTCACACAGTCTTGGCGATTAGTTGTTTGGGCACCTTCCATTGGCTTCTGCACGAGGGAACTGACAAAACAGTACTCTATAGCACTGTTTTGTCAGTTCTGTCAGGTACTACACTATGAAAGTGGCACAGAAATTTTTCTGTACTTATTATCCATTGTAATGAACTTGACAGACTACTCACTTTTATTTGGGAAAGGAGCTAATTCTCAGAGTGAGGTGGCACACCTAGACAGTACTTGCATGAATGCTGGATGTTGTTTGAAAACATCATATGGACAAATCTTGTCTGGATGAACACCTGGATTGTGTGAAAGTGGCCTAATACTCATAATATCTTTAAATTTTTTAGTTTATATTGCACAAATTAATTCATCATTAGAGATAAGATTTAGTTTTAAAATTAATATAAATATATCAAATCTAAAAATGAAAAAAAATAACATGATATTTATAATTAATGAAATCATCAGGTTTGTTAGTTGAAGAAAGTGAGATAGATAGTTGTAACAACAGATATTTCTTTATTTGTACAAGCATTGATCATTTAATTTATGAAGTGACGCTAGATTTTCCTTATTGTCATCCTATACGTTATTTAAGGATTTGTCATACCCTTGACCTTACCTATCTCTACCATTGCCATATTCATGTGCCATATGATTTCTACAATTCATTTTTGAAATGAAATCAAAGAATTGTCATTATGGCTCTGCATCATGTCAAATGCAAAGCACTTGTCTAAGAGTTTGCTTCAATTATGAAAACAGAAATAAATCACATAGGTCTAAGTCTGGTGAATATGAAGTTGTGGCAGTATCTCAGCTTCAGTTTAATACTGGTTGTATAATATTGATGATGTATGACAAATTATTAGTAAAAGATATACAAGCTGACTGTAACTGATCAGCACCTATTCAGGCTAATCACAAGATTTCAGAGAAGACATGAATGACATAGTTTCCAAGAAATTTGCATAGGAAGGAAAACATGAAAACAGTTTTATGAATTAAATGATCAACCTTTGTAGATGATTAATTGGCATAAACTTATATGAAGATAAAGGATGCAATCAGCATTATATGAATGCACATTACTTTACAAAGAACATACACCATAATGAACTTTTTCTATTATTTTAGTAACTAGCTTTATATGATAGTAGAGTTAATAATTATGGAGACTCACTGGTGGTTTACATAAAATATTTGACATTTTTGAGATGTCATATTTTTCTGTAATGAACTTGCTATCTATTTTTGAATGTACTATTTCATTTTTCTGTAAAAAGTCTGCTTTTACTCACTCAAACATTTCATTTTAGTGAGTGTGTGAGTAAATCAGTCAGTGAGTAGCTATATTATATTAGATACTAACTGATTTTATTTTCTTTTTCTAAAAAATAGTGCAATCATCATTAATAAATTCTGAATTTTAAATAAACTGAAGGGTCAAAAAATTAGAGATACCTTCCTAATAATGTGTAGCTCCTCCCCGAGCCTGAATAACAGTCACTATATAATGTGGCATAGACTCTATGAGATGTTTGAGTTGTTGCACAGATATTTCAATCCAGACAGGTTCAATGGTTATGCATAATTTACTTTTATTTGTTGGATATTTTGTGATGCATTGAGTAACATTTTGCACAGTGTCCTATAAATGCTTTATGGAGTTGAAGTCTGGCGACCAAAGGAGTAGCTGTTCTCAGACCATGTTGTGCCACCCATGCCCTGTGGGGAGTAGCATTATCCTGTTAGTACAAACCATTACCTTCAGGAAAAATAGACATTTTGCATCCTTTTATCTTGCTGTCTTAAAATTAGTATACATTGCAACTGTCAAAGTTGACTGCAGTCTCACCATTAATCTCTGCTCAAACTGATAGAACACACTCCAAACCAGGACAGAGCTGCCACCAACTTGCACAACACCTTACTGACCTGATGCATACATGGTTTCATGTGATTATCACCTACACAAACACAACTATCAGTTTGAAAGAGCTGAAAATGAGATTCATCTGATTATATAGCACTGTGCCAGTCATCCACTGCCTAAATTTGATGTTCTTTGGCCCAGAGAAGCACATTGCCTGGTACCTGAGTGTTATCAAAGTGGGTTGGTGACTACCAAACTCCAAGGAATGCAGTGTATGTTGTACAGTGCATTGACTGATGGGTTCATCAGTGCCCATGTTGAAATCTGATGTGATTTGATGCAGAGTTGCCCTTCTTGTATGGTTACTAACTTGGTTAGCCACCAGCAGTCATGTTTCTGCATCAACCATGGGCTCCCACACTGTTCACATGCAGCTGATATTTGTCCAGAATTTAAGTATTCCTGGTAAACCTTTAAAACTGTTGCACAAGAAGATCCAAGAGCATTGGCCACCTTATTGATAGTGACCCCACTCTTCTCACTCCAACAGTCTATTCATGATTAAACAGCAATAAATCCTTTGCACAGCAAAATGCTTCTCTAACCAGACACACATAACTGATAACTATCATAGCTATGATGTCAAATGCAAATGTTCCAGCTTAAAGCATTTTCTACATGGGTAGACAGTAATAACATTGCATGTGCTGCTGTCTCCAATTTTTTGGCTCCAGTTTATATTTGTAGCATATTATTTACTGAAACTCAAAAGTATTCAAAATAAAAAAAAAAAACATTAACACCTAATACATTCACTATAAATTGCAACCTAGAATATTTGTTTAAATTGCTACTTTTTAGGCATTTTTTATTAAAAAAAATTATAAATTATTTTAATTTTAATTTTTTAACAGAAATCTAGAAGAAATCGAAATCGAAGTGCTCGTTATAAGGACAAAAGAAAGGTACTTAAATTAAGTTGTCATCATCACTTTAGATGTATATTACAGGAATATGAAAACAAATTTGACTTGTGTAGAACTGTTGTGGTTTATTTTTATGCTTGAATTATATGTAATTTTTCAAAGTATTTCTATAATTACAAAATTAATATAATTCTTCAAAATGAAGAAATCCATTTAAAAATTTTTCATTTATAAAATATAATAATTCATATTTAATCAATCTATAGTGATTAATCAGTCTTTGGTTAATTTAAAAGTAATTCACTCTTTCATATTTTTATAAAATATTAAATACATAATTTAAAGTTAAAATGTATTTTAAATTATGTATAATTGATTTGTCCATTTTAATAATTAATTATATATTTATGAATTTAACTAATCAATTCATATAGCATTTCAAAAGATGATTAATATTGATTAATAGTTATATTAAAATTATCAAACAGATACTTTGCCTTTTCATAGTAATAGAATCATTAAAGAAAGGATAGTCTTTTATAACTGGTCTTCAAATAGATGCTTAAGGCTTTTTCATTTTAATGTGATTGAATTTTGGGTAATCTTTGCAATCTTTGTTTTTTAAGAGGCAGAAGATTTTACCTGATATCTAATCTGAAAATGTGAGCAATTGTAGATACCACTTTTTTTTTTGTTTTTGCAAATTCAGTATTTTTAATTTTATATGTAAGGAATATTACTTTCATTGATGTTTTGCTGCTAAAGCCTTTTTGTTCAGATGATATGTTTGATTTTTATGAATAAAAGTAAAGATCCACTCATAAAACACAAAACTGACATTCTCAGTGTAAGCTATACCAATATAAAAAACATTTGTTAGACTGTTTTCATGCTGATTTTATTTAGCTTTATTAGATAATTCTCTAGATCCTTCAGTAACATTTAGAATGTTTCTGATGTCATCACAGCAGACACTGGAATTTCCTTGCCAACCAAACTTTTAAACTTTTCTTTATGACATACATTTTGCATGTTGTTTATGATCTCTTCAACAGACAACTTCATTTTCAGATGTCTCTGTGCCTACTTTTAAGAAACCATTTTGTTTATACAGTTCTCATTGGTCTTCTCAGACAATTGATTCCATGACATTGACAAAAGATGAGTGTGTCAAGTAGTGAAATTATTCTAGCAATAGAGGTCATGTCAGTGTGCTTTTGACTATCATCTAGTTCTCAAAAAATTTATGCATACATTTCACTTTTGTAATATGCTTTTAAATTAGATATGATTCCTTTGTCACACAGTAAATTTGTTGGACTTGCAACAAATTTAGGATCCTGTTTTTAGTTATGGTGTTAGCCTATATTGCTGCTCTTGGGCAGTTCTACAGCCCAAGTTGTGATTGAGTTTCAAGTTACAAGTTAAAGATGTTCCGTACATAGCGGAGAGCTAGATGTCAGTTTGAATGGGCTGTTCCATGGCAGCCCATCCCTGAATCAGGATAAGTTTTTTTTTAAATTTAAGTAATAGACTGCATTCACCATAAGCCAGATGTCTGTGTATATAGGCTGTACCATGGCAGCTAACAGCCTGAATTAGAATAAGACTTTTTAAATTTAATTTAATAGACAGATGGATAGTACTTGTGTTTTGTTTATTAATTTATTTTTTTCAAGTAAAATGCAATTTTTATTAAAATATGTGATAGCCATGGATTAAATTTGCACAGGGAATTTCCTGACTTTCTAGTGGGACACTCCACCATTTTTGTCACTAAGCTGAATCAGTAATGCATTTACAAGAAAGAATATTATTTTAATGTTTTCAGTGGCACATCGTTAACACACAAAATTTTCTGTACAATTTTATGTGTTAACAATGTAATTAAAAAGTCTTTTATTTCACGTTTATATCCCATTTAACTAATCAGTTGTTAAAAGTATCAGTAGTCATAAGTAATTCACAGTATATGTTTCATACCCTTAAAACATCTATGGTTTTTTATTTTTTCAATTACTGCAATTTTTTTGATTATGACCTTTCATATTTGCACAACAATGAACTGCAATATCTTTCTTCAGTGATTCTTTTTGCATTTTTATGTTTAAACATATAACAATGATAGATATTGCATGAAAGTAAAGTGCTTCTTCATTTGTATAGTAGATACTACTTAGCAATAATTCAGTAATAATTTTTGGCTATTTTGTCTTTATCCACAATTCAGCTGATACAGAATCAGAACTTTTCTCCTCATCATAAATACCTCTGTACCCAATTTCATTCATTTTCTTCACTGGTTGAATCACTCATTCATTGCAATGAAATCTTTCTTTACCAGAGTTTTAGCTAATTTTTCTGTTTATGATGCATTAGTGGCCCACTAATAACTGCATTTTTTTCATGAGTATTACTAAACTAAAATTTCAAAGCTAACTCAATTTCAGTATCTTTTTCATTTTGATTTTTTTTGTGAATCATATTATCTCTCTCTCTCCAAAATTTCAAGTTTATTTTTGAATGACAAATCTTTGTATTTCATATTTGTTTCTTCTATTGTGCTGAGGTACTGTGTCTTAATCAAACAGTAATGAAGATCACAATCTTCAACAATAACAAACAGCTAGCCTATAAATGAAGTAATAAGTGGTAAAAATCAAACTTAAACTGCAATACTATGTACAGGATTGAGTGTAAGAGTAAAACAAATATTTAATGTATTAAGAGTAAACATGTTATATGATATATGATTTAATTTAAATTGATTTAAATTATACTAACATTTCTATTGAAACAATGTGGCTTATAACTACCATATTTACTCATGTATAAGATGATCTCGCATATAAGACGAGATGTTTAAAGATCAAAATAAAGAAAATTAGATTTATTAATACAGTTCTAATTTTAGTTTGTTTAATCACAAGTAAAATATCAAATGTATGTAAATGCACACATTGTCCTGGAAAAATTGCTGGAATTTTAAACTTTAAGGAAAAATTTTTAAAATCGATAACATAATTTGTTCATGTAAAGCTAGGCAACCAGGAACCTTTTTTGCCAATTCTTAACGGTTGAAACCACTCTCTGTCAATTACACTGATGAGTTTCTCCGAATTCTGATTTCTGAATAATTATCTGTTTTCACGTGGGAATGGATTAAAACTTATATCAGGCTCCTGTGTGATTTTGGAATTTCAATTTGAAATTCTATTCAAAAGTTTTGCTATTCATATTGCTATTCATCTTTACTCCTGACAATACACAAGAATGATTGAAACGACCCAGATAAAATACTTTTGTTTTTAAACACCAGAGGGTGAGCATCTGGTAAAAAATACGAATACAGAGTTTACAAAAATGATTGCAAAGATGCAAAAAAATCCTTTGCTCCCACGTATAAGACAACCTAGGTTTTTGAAGCAGTGAAAACTGAATAAAAATTTTGTCTTATGTGCGAGTAAATACAGTATTATTATCTGTTTTGTGACTTGGCTGTTATTAACTGTTTAAGTAAATTCAAAAATTATCATTAATAACATAATGACAATTATAAGGAATTTCTGAGAAAGTTTTGTAATGTTATTTAATTTATGTTTTGAGATTTGTTGATTCTGATAATATTAGGTGATTGTAAACAATATCTGCCATTATAGTAAACAGCACCTACTGTATTTATTTATTTTCATATAATTTCTTATGTAATTATTAATAGTGGTAATTTTCAAAAATTTGTACTTACATTTTGTTTTTCAGAAATTGAAAAAGAAAGAAGCAGATTACGCAGCATTTTTATCGGGTTTTGATTCATCCAAGAAAGCAGATGAAGATCTTAATGCCTGACTTAATTTCTACACAAAAGAAAAAATTAAAAACCATATTACATGCACACTATTGGCATGTTAGGACATAAAAATAATCTCAGAAGTAAGAAATTTTATATTTGGTTGGTTGAACTGAGTATGTATCATTTTCACAACAACAGGCATTTGAGAAATTAAAGTCATACAATTCTTTACTTAGTAAAAAAACCTTTGTTTTTATTGAACAAACTTTCTTACTGAACATTTGCAAGAAAGGTAAAGAAAAGGAACTGTTTACAGTTTACTTATATGTATAGCTAAATCTAGAGTGTGTCTACACTAATATACTGAGTGTTATACAGTTTTCAATTACTTTCAGACTCACTCATGAAATTCCCTAAAACAATTTGACTTTTTGTTCAAGCATAGATGGAGGTTACACTTAATGCACATGAACATAGTCTATCCTTTATATTTGGAACTTTTGTATTTTTGTTTCACTTACAAAAATCAATGACTCACTCCATCAGTTCCACAAATCAGGTATACGTTTTGTTGGACCCTTTTACTTTTTCATTTGTAATTCTTTCTTCATACTTCCAGATGCCTACCTCTTTTTTTTCTTGTCATATCTTTTCCTTCCTTACAAAGATCTGCAATTCTGGATTTAAACTTTAAGTTTCCCTTGAAAGCAGTTAATAGATGATTGGCATGATTCTATTGTTAAAGGAAAAGTAGGATGTACATGGTCAAGCCACTACTAATTTGAAAATGGGGAGCATATATTTTAAATTAAATAAATTAAAAATGATTAAAAATTGCAACCCAGCATTGTGACAATGTAATAATAATTGTTTGTTTCGATTTGAGTCTAATCAAATCATCCTGAAGAGGATAGTTGTAAGTTTTCAAAAGTACTTGCAGTTTTTGAATAAAATGTTGGTTTTAATGCTGTAAGACAGAATATGTTACATCATAAAATTATGCTAGATTATTATTTGGTGTGAGGTGCAATTAACTTTCTCATCTGTTGTTGATATGTGTCCTGTGCTAGTAGCAAATATTCATCACCACTGTCATCAATGCCACTGAGACAGCTATCATCACTCTTGTTTGCAGATGGTATAGAAGTTTTCAAAGGTAAATGTTTTGAACCATAAAAGCTTGTCCCTCTGTCTAAAAAATAGAAAGTATTGAGTAGTAGCAGACATTCAATATCATGCCAACAATAAACCTGTAATCATTCCAACCCATTAGCTCACACCAACTTGTGACCTCATGGGGTCAACTGTACTGTTTATTTCATACCTTCACAACAGATCTGTTTTACACATTTTTTGTAACAAAATATTTTCTTAAATGAATTGAATTTTTGTATATATATATATGTATATATATATATAATGAGGGATCTGGATTCTGGGACTTCACACAATCATCACAGAATTCCAAAGTGCACAGGTTTCCATATAAAAGAATTAATTTGGAATGATGAGAATTTGCAACATTCAGTATTAAAGAGTTAAGAAGGCTGACAAGAAAACTGCATCTACTACTCAAGTAATAGAAGTAACATCTGAATGTGATAAAACAGTGCTTAAAAAATTGTCACCTGAAAATTCAGGTACTGAATTAAAAGTGAGAATCTGCTGTCGTAAATTATGTTGATGCTTCAAATAATAAATTTTTGTGATAAAATTTATATGACATTAAAAATAAATTTAAAATGAAAGTAATTAGTATTTTATTTTTATATGTTATATATATATATTATTAATATTAATTAAAACAAAATATTGCTATACAATATCAAGAAGTCAAACTTATTTTATTTCAATTACATGAATATTTGCATTATATTAGAATGCTTGTTCTGATTTTTTAAAAATTAAACAAAATCTTAAATCTGTTACAAGTTATTTTGTATACAAGTTAAAATAATTATGCTCTATGTTTGAATCTGTTTACTGTTAAGTGTTCAGTCTGGTAATGAGATTGAAATATCATGAAATATGTTTATGCAAAGTAAATTAGATTTGACTTCTTAAATGTGTAGCAACACTTTTGTGGAAATTAAGGACAAAGTCAGTTGATACAAGAAAGAGTTAATTTTGAATGAAAGCAATGTCACAAACAATAGTTGTTAAAATGTGTTTCTTTAAATGGTTCCTATTAAAATTCATGATAAATGCAAACACATAAGTAATGAAACAGAATTAAATTCATAACCAACTAGATATAACACCTTAATGTTTACTGCTATGTATGAATGAGCTGCTTTTATGTTAATATTGATAATATATATTTAAGAGAATAATTTGATCTAATTAATTTAATTGCAATTATAATTTCTCAAAGTTAAGAAAAATCATTGGTAAATAAAAGTATTAAGTTTTGAGCTTGTTCTGTTTCATAGCTTATCATTCAAGAAAACTTGTATCTATTTAGCAGTCCTGTGTCTAGATATTTCTTCACCTGAAGTAAAATGATAAATGTATACCTCTATTTACACACAATGTAAGATTAAATATATAAGTGCACTTTTTTATATAATAAAATAATTATAAATTTATAATTATTTCTTGTTATACCCCTGCAAACTCAAAGAAGTTTGCATAAGTGTTCACAATATCAAATGGTTTTAATAATGATAGAACAGACAATACATCAGTCTCCTATGGACTGGACCTCTAATGAAATCAGAGAGATCATGTGACAATTAGAAAAAAATCCACCAACAAGTTGCTTAACTTTTTCAGCAACATTTGGTGACTCAATCTGCTATATCTGATTAAAAAATCTTTTTATATTTTTAATTATTATAAAATGACAAAATAATTAATATTGAGGGTAGGAATGGGTTTCATAAACTGTAAATGTGAATAACAAGTAAAATTATCATTAAGTTGACCCTATTCAAGATATGACATGATTGTCTATCTCCTCACCCCTCGCCCTTTAATCACCAAAATTTAATAGCACCGATCCCCCTAATACCCAAGCCTCCTGCAAAATTTCAGAAATTTTTGACAAAAAGTACAGGAGTTATGCTTAAAAGAGGGTGAACAAAATCGTGCCCCCATACACACTAAAATCCATCCATATATACGGAAAAAACCCCTCAAAGTTTTTTCATTTCTCAATGTTTCAAGATCATTTGTTTCGACTAATTGCCATACTTTCTCTGTGTTATATATAGTAGAACCAGGAAAGTAAATTGCAGCACACTATGGAATCCAGAAGTCATCTAAGAGTAGATGCAAAATTGGCATTATAAAATCTATGAAACAGTCATTCAAGCTGTTTTCTGTGGTTGAATGTGTCAGTTAGTATCATATACAACAAAATTTTGTGTAAATATGTATCCCATCCAAATTAAACTTGTGTTTGCATAGACCAGGGATGTCCAGCCTGTGGGCTGCACTGTTTTCATTTGCATCCCTAAATTTTTTAGGTATATTTTCATTTATTTTGGTAAACTATGTCGTAAAAATTATTCTCATTACACTCACTACACTTTGATGTCATATTGACATAATTGGTGTTAGAAAACTTTTATCTAGAAAACTGTTATGCATTTGGGATAATATATACTGTTGTGAACAATTCTTTTTGTGCATGAAAAACATCAAAACTACTGAAAGAAATAGGTTGAGTGATTCCCATTTAACTAACATTCTTAGAATTAAGACTAGTACAGTACCATAAAAGCAGATATTTACAATATTATAAAAGGAAGGCAATGTCAAAAATTGCATTGATTTTATTTTTATTTTGTGTGAGTATAATTAATTTTTTTACTGCCAATAATATAGTATTTTTTGTAATTATATATATTTGTTATTAAAATTTAATATTCACATTTTGAAATTTTAAGAGTATATATTTATATAAAGTACCTTTGTGGCCCACTGAATAAACCTACATTTCTAATTAGGTCCATTAGGAAAAAAAGGTTGGACAACCCTGGCATAGACCCTTGCTACCATTTTAATATTTCTCTGTTAATTGTAAATACATTTAAAACATTTCTAAAATTGTTGTTATTACTATAATGAATAACAATTTTTTCCAATTTTTCTAAATATACAGAGCAAAATTTTGTTATGGTATATCAATGACATTACTATAGAAAAATACATGCAAACCAAAGTATTGACCACAATAAGTATATTTCATAGTTCTTTCATATGTAGAATGTCAAAAGCTAGAGAAGTATTGATTGTTGACTTCAGTAGCACTAGGAGTGGGTTAGCCTAATATTCATCATCTGCTAAACATGATTCTTTATGTTAAAAGATCTTATTGTACAATAGATTACGCTGGTGTGGAAGTTTCTTTTTAGTATTATTATTTAAAGTAAAATGAATGTGATCAAAAGTTTTAGTAGAAACTGCATAAAATAGTTGGATGGAAAGACACAAACATTTAATACGTATTTTATAGTTTTTAATCAAAAATATACAGTAAATTGGGAATAAATGTATTTATCCTGTTTTATTCAATGGGGTGGTTTGGTTTATTTGTATACAGCAATGTGACACACAGGAAATCTGCCAAAGAGATGCCTCCCAAGAGGACTTTTAAGAGAAACTGTGCTTTATCCATATCTTACAAAGAAAACTCCATATGGTCAGACCATTGTCAATGCAAAACCACCAGTCTTTAGTGGTTTTCCACTTTGTCGATGGAAAATGGTCAATGGAAGTAATGTAGGACAAGGCCTGACATAACCAAGACAGACAACTCACTGAAAAATTTCTGGGAATTTTTGACCATGCATTTGTTCTTGGTTACTCTAAGAACCTTGACCCAGTGGTTTTTAAGCAGGTTGTTGCAAAATAGTGCTGAGTAGAGCCATAACACTTCTTATATGAAGCATGAAGCAGTGGATTAAATATTATAATTGTAGGCCTAGGGACTCAGAAGACAGGAAAGTCTGAGAACAAGACAGACAAAAAAATAAGAAAACAAATGTCTTAATTGATATATCGTTTAACATAACTAGTCACTTTAACAAAATGTAGTGCAGGCAGCCCCATGGAAACTCGGCACAGGCCATGGTAAAACCTCTGGTCCCCTCTAACCACATTTCTCCTGTCCCATCCCAACGACCCGACTAGATGTGACTACTGACTAGGGTGGCCATAGGAGGACACTGTTGGGAGTAACCCCGCGCACCCTGTTGATCTCCCGTGATTTCAGTTCTTTTATATATGTATAAATAAAAAACGAAAAATAAATATATGGAATGTTCAATAATCAGTGATAATATTAAATGTCGAAAACCGTACATGAAGTAACAAATGTTGAGAAAGAAAAAAAATTCAGTATTTTATTAAGAAAACAAAAGAAAAACCAAACTGAGCATGGCTATCTACTTTTTATATTTCTATTCTTTGCTTGCCATTTTCAATAGTTTGTTGTTGTCAAGAAGCGTTTTGTACATAACTGGGCGCACTTCTGCAAAAGTCCGAAGATGATTGGTTAGACCTTTCATCCCTGCCGTGCCCTCGTCCAATAAACATTTGTGACTGATTTGTAAACATTTGTGAAATTCTTTGGCCTCTTAACGAAGAAAATGGCCAAAGTGCCACTAGATGAAAGTGGTGTGAGCCATCTGAAAATGTTAACCTTCCTCAATTCATTCGAAGTGACAACAGAACTATTTTGTACACATTTTTCATCACACCTCAAAAAGGAGGACAAATTGATCTTCTTTGCAAAGAAATAAAGAAATTTAATTTCAAAAATGGGCTCTCAGTTTCCCTATAAGGATCCTGGCCCTGTTACATTATACCCATCTCGTCAGGGCTGGAAATGAGAGAAGACTAGAGGGAGCAATATTAAAGCTCAGCTTAGGGCCTGGATGATAGTTAATCCACCATTGATTACATGTATTACTAATAGTACGAAAAGCACGACTGTACATTGATAAATAAGTAGGGATGCCGCAAGAAGCTGTTAAAGTCTACACGAAATTCTGTAAGGTCTTGATTTTATTTGAAATAATACATTAAAGAATACATCGAAACTTTAACCTAGTCGAAAGTAAATAATAGGCGTACTGTACAGTACTCTATTAAATAGAATAATATTAAAGTTCTTTATAACTCCTAATTACTTTCTGGCTGTTATATATAACCAGGGCCGGCCATCGGGGGGGTGCGGCGGATGCTGTGCACCGGGGCCCCGCGATTGAGGGGGCCCTAACATTGTCAAGAATGCACAAGAAAACTCGACAATATTCCTATCGTTGTCAGTATGACGAAAAGTACATTTTATCGTAAACATTATTATTGTAATCTCTGAATTTCGACAATCTTCAAACTAATTCTCGGTGATGCGAATGTTTAGTTTTTGTTATTTGATTCGGGAAACTCCCGAGNTAAGTTTTTCACGATACTTATCTTTCATTTAATTTCAATATATTGGTATAAAATATAATTTATATTTTTTAAACAGTTATGTACAGATGGACGATCCCGGATTGGCCTCTATTATACACGCTTTCGATCTGTATAAATTAAGTTTAAGATACGAGTTAGAGAATTTAAAACTGAAATGCAGGTCATTTATCATTCGAAAAGTAAACCTGAATACCGTGTGTTTAATCCACGATTTTGCATGTGAGATCGGTGATCTGGTCATAACTTATTATTGCTGGCTAGCTTTCGACGAATACGGAGAAGAACTATTTACAACAGTCACCTTTATGTGCTGTAAAATTGCAACAATTGATAGACTGCTATCTCGAGCGATATATGAATCAGTCAGTGAGTTTCGTTTACTCCAAGCCGTGTATGAGTGGAGCATAGAAGAAGTTAAAAGAAAATTGGGTGCAGACAACTTCCATTCGATGTATGAAGAATCGAAAAGGAATGCAATAAGAAATGTTATGGAGCCATTTATTGGAAAAGTCAGATTTCTTGCCATAAATGAAGACGAATTGCAATCTTATGTTTTTACAATGAACTTGTTAAACGAATTAGAAAAGAGTCATATCTGGCATGCTTCTAAGTATAATTATTATTCCTTGTGTCCCAGTTACTTTAGTCGAGAAACAAAAACCAGAAGCAGAAGAAATTATTGTAACTTGTTCTCGTACATAAATTGTGGAGATCCTTTTACGGTCGCGAACGGAGAAATGAAAGGTTACACATATTTTAGCAGCGAAATAGTTGTGAGAGAAAATTGTTACGTCACGGCTCTTCGATTTCCAATGAAGCTTAGCGAACGTTTTCCAATGTACGTACACGGGTATATTAAAAAGAATTTGGACAACGAACAGTTTTCGTTTGACACCGTTTGCAATGGAAACGGAGTAGCAGATCTGGAAACGAAGTTTTATCTAGAAAAAAATTGGTCAATTCGTTTCTTTGCTTTCTTTTTACGCGCTGAAAATGTCCAACCCGATATCAAGTTTTCACCTGAACTGAGTTACTTTGTGAGCGACGAAGGAACAGATGCCAGGAAATTTGAAGACAAATTCATAACCTGTGACGGAAACCTTCTGAATAATATTTACTTTTCGGTTGATTTATATTTTTGAAGTGAAGTTTCTGTGGAGAAAAGCGAAATCTGAAAAGCGAAATCTATAATGTAAAGTTAAATTCGAATATGATTATTTCTTAAAGTACCGCTTTAAAATTTCTGCAAAATATTGGATTTACAGAAAACAAAATTTAAGTTTAAAGTGTTTATTAATGTAATATTTTTTTTGAAAAGTGTATTGTCATTAGTCGAGTTGTTTATATTTCAAAATTTAGTATTTGCAAATCTATCAGCATCAAGAACGTTTATAATTGTCAGCATTTTAATGCTAATTACGTGGGTGATTTTAATATTTTTATTGAAGTAGATGTTCGAGAAAGTAATATAATTACAATCATACAGCATTAATCTTTTCTTTATTCATGTTAATAACGATAGAAATAAGAAAAGTTAAAACTAGTATTTATGTCTAAATGTACCAGCTATTCGATATCCATGTTTTAATTTTATTATTTACAGTATTATTCTTTGTATTCGTTGTATAGAATGTGATGTTTTACCATTCTTTTCATCTACGACGCTTTGCGTAAATTTAATTGCATTCAAATTTGATTTTTTTAAGTGAATGTGCCCGGAAATCTTATTCGGTTACTGACATTTTCCGTTAAAAGAACAGTGCAGTGCGTTTAGAACGAGTTGACGACAGAATTTCTACAGAAGCAGTTTGCATAAAAGATCACTATTCAAAAGAAGCTTTATAAGGTGTATCTTTAATACTACGGAATATCATCTATTTAATACTACGGGATTACACTTTGGTAGTTTTGATAGCGGTACTGTACTTATTTTTAATACTAAACAATGGGACAATGAAGACCATTTAGAAATTTTCGACGAATTTTTTTTAAAATGTACAATTAAAAATTTCGACAATCTTTAAACTAATTCTCGGTGATGCGAATGTTTAGTTTTTGTTATTTGATTCGGGAAACTCCCGAGAATCCCCACCTAAATTCGACTTTTTAAAAAAAAAAATCTCAATACCATATAGCCCGCGTTAAGAAATGAAAATAATACTGTGGCCGTCGGCCATATAAAATTATATGTATATTTGCATCTAGTCGTAGTTTTAAGTAAATACGACTCTGTTCTAATGTATCATATAAACAGAATTGTGCATCATTTAGNACCCAGTGTTATTTTTCCTTTAATTGAATAGAATGCAAATTTTTTATAACATGCTACAGTCGAAATTTCTTTTAAGTTCGTCTTTTCCTTTCCAACATAAAGTATAACATAACACACATGAAACGTAATTAGTAAGTGAAATAGCCGTAGAACAATACAGAAAATTGTCAGACAAAAATGTTATTTTAATTACAACTTGTAGGAATTACTATTTTTCCTATCAGTTTGATTTATTTTTAGCTTTATAGATGTAATAGGTAAATGGGTAGTCTGTTAAGGCTGTTTTCTTGAATATGTTTAGTGTTTACACGCATTAATTAAAAACATAGAATTTAGTTTGTGATAATTTATAATATTCTAATAAAAATATTTGTTAGATACATTTTAGCATATTATTATATATATTTTTATGTTTTTCGTTGTGGTACTGAAGTTAAAATGCATTATTACATTTAAAAATATTCATAGTTTGTCTTCAATATCGAACACAAATAGATATTATTAGACGGATTATGTTTGTTAACCGAACACTCACTGTATTAATTTTTAAAAAAAATTAACATTTCTCAATAGAAACTCGACTAAACAGAGACGTGCACAAATTAAAGCCGATTTATTCATATAAATATACGTAAATGGGGGATGAATTCCATACTTGTAAATGCTTCTAAAGTAATAATTGTTAAACAATTTCACGAAGAAAAATAAAAATTAAGAGATTCGTTAAGAATTAAGTATGTTAGTGAAGAAATGTTACATTAACTTCATATCATTTTTCTGTAACTATTTTTGGTTCAATTAGTTTACTACGATTTGTCATAACCAACACCTAACTCTCTTGCTACACGAAAATGCCTATCGGGAGAACTTTCTATGGGAAACAGCTTCCATTTATGCGTTAGACGTATGAAGGAAACACGCAAAATTCCATCTGGCCAGTCGGATGTGAAAGGCGAATCTGCGATCAATTACCAGTATTCAGCGATTTTATCCATTCGAACACTAGTGGGCATATGCAAACTTTTTACTCTATCAAGGTCTTCCGTCGTAATGAATGAAGCAGTAGTGAAACTTCTTCATATGAAAATGTATCTTTATTATCTAAAATCGTGTATTTTTTAATGCCGTAAACTTGTAATTCAATATATTTGTCATATTCGCATATTCAATGCAGTTTTGAAGAAGGTGATCTCTGCAAATGCGAAGTATTATTCGTAAGTGTGTATTGTTCGTAATACCGTGCGTGTTCTCTTTTCTAATCCGTTCACTGCAAGTATGAAGAGGCTTTAACTTGTCGAATATTTGTTAACGTCAGTGGTGTTAACATCTACTAAGAACTGTTTAAATACTATATATTGTAATACTCCGAGTAGATCCACGGTTAGATATTAGACTACCGATAGTGCCACGCGACTTATCATTTTTCATCTTTTGGTTTCATTACTCAATCTCATAGAAGGTTAGGTAAAGTTTGTAATGTTGCGTACTTATGCGACCGTATAGTTTATAATTGTTTATGACAGGTGCTAAGTAATCAACCAATCAAAACTGACAACATTATTAGTAGAATAATCAATATTTAAATATGAATAATCATTTTATTAACAAACCCAAAATTTGCAGAAAAAATTTATTACGTGTATTGAAGATTTGCATTTAATGATACATTAGCATTGGTGATACAATATTGATAGTAGTTTCATTATATTTGTGAAGATCCCTGCAAAAGAAAAACATTAATGAATTAATTCATTAATAATCGAAGTTATGCGGAAGAAAACCGTGCGTTAAGGTGTTAGCTTACCGCTCTGGGAACCCGGAAACGAATCCAAAAGACACATAAACACCAAGAATTTTTCATCGGGTGGTCTGTTACGAATATGTCGTGCCTCGTCTTTCATAACCCGGCCACTCCACTGACCGGGCCGAATCGACCAGTTCAACAATTAATGAAAAACTTCGTAGTGTCCACAAGGAGAAAAGTTGAAAGAAATTGATGTTACGTGATTTTTTTTTTGCACCTTTGATTCGTTAATAAAGTAATGACATGTTATAGAAGCGTATACCATTACGTCAATTTGACATCATTTTACGCTTTTTCATTATAAAACAGCATAAAGATGACAACAAAATGACCTGTGTATTATTCTGACAAAATGAATGCGTCTTAGTAAACCAGTTAAATTCAGAAACTTTACTATTGTTCCCCCACACTAAATACTTCATTTAGTAGTATTTTTTAGTTTTACCTCTTCTCACCTTTAGTAAGATCGTCGTGGGACCAAACCAAAAAGAAGGAAACCGGGTAATGAAAGACTAGGTTCAACATAAATGACTACTCAAAAAACATTCTTGGGATTAGTCCTCAAGAGCGATGGGTTGACGCCCAAATCGACTGATTATTCGGCCTTTGTACAGTTATATTTTATATCCAATATCGGAATTTTAATTCATTATATTGATATTCTAATAATCAGAGTGAAGAAAAAGATATCTGCGATACATTGTTGAAATTTTTAAAATAAAAAAAAAATATTTATGTATATTCTGCAACAACTTTTATGTGATTTCATAAAAGTAAAATTATGTATTTTGGTATCATTGTTTATTTATTCATCTGTAATGGTTTGTTAGATATCATCTCGTGTAAATCTAGTTGTTGAAGGGAAAAATATTCCTGTGGATTCCACATTTTAAGATACTGTTTTTTACGACATATGACACACAGCTTTTGTCCAAAAAAATAAGTCAAAAATTTTCCTGTTTTGTATATATGAAGTTGCGATTCCCATAAGCTAATGAATTCTCCAGCCTTCAATAGGCTACAAGTAAATGCACACATTTTTTAATAAATATTTTGTGCTGAAATACATCTTAAATATCGTATAGTAAATTATGGTATTTCAATGTATATATATTTGAAATTTCATGTGTTTATCAAAATGTATTTTGTCCTATACAAAATTAAAATATAGTTTAGAAAACGCAGGGTGATTCCAAATTTAGGAATAATATTTACAATATAATTAACGAATTGAAAACAATATCCAGTTGCCTGGTTTCCTACCATTTAATTGTCTATCATTTATTAAAATGTCTATTTATGTAATTATCTGATGAAGAGACTTACCGAAACATGATATGAAATTCAATAAAGAATTTTAATGAGGTTCTATCTTTTGGAAAATGATGAAATTATAAGAAATTAAGCGACTGGATATTCTTTTTAAATTGTTGATTAAAACAGAAGTTTTTGGCTTGGACCAGACTTCGATGGGTTAATTCCACAATCAATGGCACGTTAAAGCTTCGTGGGACCAGACGAATTTCAATAAGGGGCATCGTATACAACGTTGACTTTAGGAGAATGGGCACGATACGTCTGCAACCGATCGCTCACCAAAACGATCCCGGAGCTTTCTGCTCCGATTTGATCCTAGGTAGCCCAGAGCAGTAGGTTGACACTTTAACAGCCCCAGCCATCCTGCTGACTAAGTTTAAAATGAGAATTTACTAAAATATAAAATTTTAAACTTATTTGACCCAGCCTGTATCTTGTTTTTAGAAAAGGTTTTTTTTTTATTTTTAAACTTTACCTTATTGCCGATTCACTACAGCATGGTGAAAGTCATTTTTCTGTAAAATTTTTTAAAATTCTTGTTAATTCTCTATCAACTAACAAATAAATTAAAAAATCATAAAATTTTCTACTAAATGTCAAAGAATTTTCTAAACTTAAATATACTTTAATATGTTCCTTACTTTGGGATCCTCCATTATAACCACTTCTACAACACCAGTTATGCTGCCGACTAAGTTTAAAATGAGAATTTACTAAAATATAAAATTTTAAACTTATTTGACCCATCCTGTATCTTGTTTTTAGAGAATGTTTTTTTATTTTTAAACTTTACCTTATTGCCGATTCACTACAGCATGGTGAAAGTCATTTTTCTGTAAAATTTTTTAAAATTCTTGTTAATTCTCTATCAACTAACAAATAAATTAAAAAATCATAAAATTTTCTACTAAATGTCAAAGAATTTTCTAAACTTAAATATACTTTAATATGTTCCTTACTTTGGGATCCTCCATTATAACCACTTCTACAACTGGTTTCTAGAAAATAACAATTATTACTTTTAATTTAAATCAAATCTAGATTTAGTAAAGACATATATATATAATGATGATTTTACTTATTAGCATGTTACAGTTTTTTTTAAAACTCATCCCTGCCCTCAAAATTAAGCTTTTTGCTATTTTATAATTAAAAATATAAAATGTTTTTTAAGTAAAATATCATAATATTTGGTGCCACAAATAATTTTAAACATTATTGGAAAAGTTAGGCAACTTGTTGCTGGATTTGTGAGGACCCAAATGGAGTCCAAAAGGAGATATTCACTGGCTTTTAAAAAAAATCACGTTTCACAACGCAAAAGGGCGAAATTAAAGATCTGAGTTAAACAATGGAAGTTTTTTTGGTAAAAGATTTACAACAATAGCAAGACTAAAGTCGAGGAAAACACAGCCAGAGAGGAGTCATGTTCGGTCACGAAGTTGACCTCTCCCACGCTCTTCATCAGGTCTCGAATTGTCACCAGATGACAATGAGAGACCAATGGAGAGGCGACTGAGGTTGAAAAATCTATAAAATCGCATTTTCAAGAACATTAGGAGTTCTTGGTCTTGAGTTCATAGTGCTCCTTTCACGGATTTTTTGTGCTTCTGTCCCAAAATCAACAAAAGCAGAGTCGATGGTTTGGAATTCACTTCAACTGCTGATATGGAAGTTCGCCCAGGTGTTTCCCAGTGATGACCAGCCTTTCCAAGTGTACAATGCGCCCGGGACCAATGCTCTCCACATCGTTTCACCGGCAACTCAACGTTCGTTTGGACAATTGAACTCTTTTTATTGTACAAACTGGTTCGTCCTTGGATAGGCCTTACACCGATTGTTAAGAGTAGCTGTAAGCATCATTTTTATGTTTAATAAATGGTTTATGATGGAAATCTGTCTCAGTGAGTCTTAACACTCCCATATGACGGAGTAGACCTCTCGGCTGTCAGAAAACTCCTCACCCCAATCGGCATACCTCACACATTTGTTATTCTGGAAATCCATTCTGGTACAGAGTGGTGATCTTTAGATCCCTTCTTACAAGGACCTAGTTATATTTATCTAATGAGAGAAGTTATAAGGCAGAGACAAAGATCATTAAAAAGATTTCGATAACTCACTACATGCCACTGAAATTGTTAGAAATTTAATGAAGAACAAACAAAAGAAGACAATAGTCAGTGAAGGAGAACAAGGGACTATAGGAGATGAAACTGGTCAAAATCATGAGACTGTCATCTTAAAAGTTCTTAGGCCTTGCCTTGAAATAGCAGATGCTAGGATTGTTGTAGCCAAAACTCACAACTTACAAGAAAATCAAGAATTCAAAAGATCTTTTAAGACAGACAAGACGAGCAGCATATACAAATATAATGTACTTGTTGACTATGAAGACAAGACATTATACTTGTATATGCAGCACTTGCTGCCTGCTAGTGGACGGAAGAAAGGAGCACTGGGAGGACCAGCAAAAGAGAAGAATTAATATAGTTCTTGCTGAAGAACTAATCATAAACAGGAATGCAAAGGTGACATAGAAAAGGATACATGTTGTTATTTTAGTCACAACAGTATAAGGACTGCTGAAGAATTAGCAATAGCCACCAGTATAACTCTGGCTTTAAATAGAAAACAAGAAGGGAGGTAGTTTGACCCATGGGTTTGGCTACTGAACATGGCCAACAAGTAGACAGAATGAGAGGATAAAATATAAGAGAAACTTCAGTCCAGGCAAGTTGCATCATCATTTAATCTTAGTCATAATCATTATAGGTTCATTCAGACTCATATTAGGATAGGCTGGATAGCAAGACTTAACATATCCATGATTTAATGCACATGAAAAATTGTTGTTGTATTTGTTTTTGAACAAAATCTGTCATATTTTCTTATTAAGCATCCTATAATACTCAAGAAATTATAGTCACTTTGTATATGTTGTCAAGAAAATTTTCATAACTCTTGAAAATAAGTTTTTTTATTTTACTGTAAAATTATAAATTAATTTTACAAGTTATCTCTTTCAGTTATAATTTTGAATTTTATATTGTTACTGAAAAATTAAAGTATTCTCATATGTAATTAATGTGTTTCATAAATGAGAAATCAGACATAACATTTAATGAATAAATGCTTTAAAATTTTACTATTTGGTAATGTTAATTTAATCTAATATAAATATAATTATTAATATTTTGTAGACAAAATTCAAAAAGCATCAACTCCTTATTATTATTTGATATATTTCTGACTTACGTTCATAAATTTGATAAAAGTGTGCCCTTGCATGAATTATATGAAGTATTTGAAATTCTTCTATCCAATTTGATGTCTCCATATCACATTGTAAGATTTTCATTATAAAATTGAATTTTTAATATATACTTCATTGTTGCTTGAAATAAAATTTAAATCTATTAATTTAGGTTCGCTTTCTGACTCTTAAAATCTTCAATAATTTATCATTGTCAGGAATTATAAAAGAGGTAAGCTAACTTATCAGATTTTTTAAATGTATTCTTTGCTTTTATTATTAAATTTTTTAATGTATACATGTCAATAAATTTGTTAAAAATTGTTTAGAATGTCATAAAGTTTGTATTAGAAAGTAAAACAACTAAAAAGTAGCAGTCACCAGAAGGTGCCTGACAGTCTAGGATACTGGAGTATCCAGGGACACCCTTATATTCTGTATCAAGTGCTACAATATTAAGTTACATACTCTGTCAATATATTTAGTGTCCCAATTAATGCAGTTTATGTATTATATTTAGAATGTTGAAATATATTTTTTTAAATGCTTATTTATTCCTAAAATCAATAGATAAAAAGTAGATTACACATTACACAAGTGTAATGTTGGTATTAGTATTTTATATTAGTTTAAACAATATAAAAAAAGATGAAAAAATATGAACAATACAACAACTAGATAATAATACTAATAATAATAATAATAAAGAAAAATAGAAGTACCATTTAATCACTTTACTTCCAATTTGATTGGAGGTAAAGTGAAGTAAACATTCTCCATTCAGGTGTTTTTTTTAATGTTTTGAAAAGTTGATAGAATATAGCTCAGATCTAGCACCAATTGATTACAACATGTTTACATCTTTAAAAAAAAAAAAGATTTAGGAACATGTACTATAGTGGCACGAGCAATAAAGAAAATTTTTATACAGTGTGTTTTAGAAACTAGTAGAATGTTGGAGCAATTCTTTTAAATTTTTAAATGCTGAAAAATTAATACTCTTAGAAATTTTCTTACTATTGGTAAGTGTCTGTTTATAATGAGGTAAAGTCAGCATGTATATATATATAATGATTTAATTAGTTGAAATAATGTAATTTTTATTTGTGTTTTTGATAATTACAAGTATCCCTTATACAACACAGTTTTGCTCTAACATGGTTGGAAAATTGAGGATTTCCCCATACATCATGGTTTCTGGTTTTGCTCTAACACAGTTTGAGAATTTGGGAAATTGTCCATACAAAATTTCACAATTTTTAAGTGCAAATGCCATTATTTGATATTTTTTTTTTTGTTTAAGTAAGCATATGCATCGTCTTAAATTTGCCCATGGATTTACAATATTGATATTTTCAATTTGTTTTATGCCTTTCGTCAAGTTTACTTTAATGAAAACTGATAGAACAATTTTTTCTTCCTTGTTCTAGCTATTCTATCAATTAGGTATTGTTGATGTTGCTTTCAGACATTAGCATTTAAGACTGTCACCATGTTTTGGTTTTATAGATTAATCTTCATATTTAATAAAGTTTATTTAAACATTTTTAGGTAGTGTTATTAATTTTTTTTAATCATAGGTAAGTAATCATTCATAAAACTGATGAATGAAATATGAAAATATGGTGGTATTTCAGTATTCAAACTGTTCTCAATTTGAAGAATTTGGTATTCAAACACAAATTCTGGAGAAAAATTGCTTGGTGCTCAACTGAACAAATGAGGGCACTCTAAAACAAATTTTCAATTTAATAACATATCTTTATTCTTATTTTATCTTCTATAAATAAGTTTTTTATGATAAAAATAAAAAAAATAAAGATGTTGCTGCTATTTCTGACCAAGATCAACAAAAAGCTCAGAAGATGACGATACTTTGTAAAAAGAAAATGCCCTCATTTAACTAAAATTAATATTAATGCTTAATACAGTACTTTTAATTGTGATTGTTAGTTAATTATTGATTGATTTAATAAGCATATTTCTCTTAGTGACAATAACAATTAGTATACTTTTGCTAACTTTTTGAACCTAACCCTATGTTTTGCATTAGTTCTTTATTTTTTGTAGCACAGATTTGCATAACATGGCACTTTTTCAGACTACTGTTATACAAGGGATACCTGTAATTTATTAATATATTTATGTATTTTTACTATTTAAAATTAACATTTCAGACAACAGTATTCAAAATGTGTCTTGATGCTGAATCAATACCTGCAACCTTTCAAGAGATACGACACAAAATTCAACTATTGCAAAAATTGAAATATGATCAAATGTATAAAATTTCAAATTATGATCATTACAAACAGGTATAGTTGTTGTTTATTTATGTTAGTAGTTTAATTAAAATGTTGCCAAATGCATAAAAATTAATTTTTATTGCATTTTAGTTTTATTACTACAGTTTTATTAATAATAATTATAATTTTTAGCCCAAGAAATCAGTTATTGTTACTTTAGCAACTTGACATTATTTACCTAAATTATCTGAGAGTACAACTGTGTCAAAAAAATTGTCATAATCTTACAAATCCAGTATTTTTTGACTTTCAATGTTAAAATTATAAAATTTTAAGTCATATTTGCTGATAATTTATTACATATCTAATTAACCTGTCATTTGATTGTACCTGGAAAAACTGTATGTGAAAAAGGCTAAGTAATTTAAAATATTCATCATTTTAAGAAATTCAAAAAATTTGAATAAATAAATAAATAATTGTTTGAAAAATTGGAATGCGTATGTTTATTTCAGAATAATTCATATTGTTTTAATATTTGTTAAGATATTTGAAAATTCATTTAATACTTGGATAACCTTTGTTTTTAATTACATCATGAATTCTTTGTGACATTGAATCAATTAATTTCTGATAATTGTTAGNAACCTTCTTATTGGAAAAATGAACCAAACACTTAAAAAGAAGTTAATAAAATGCTTTTCCTGGAGCACAACTTTATATGGAGCAGAGACTTGGACCTTAAGGAAAAAGGAAGCAAACTACCTTGAAGCATATGAAATGTGGTTATGGTGAAGAATGGAGAAAATCAAGTGGACAAAAAAGGTTAAGAATGAAAATGTTTTAAATTTGGTCCAGGAACAGCGATCTCTTTTAAAAACAATATAAAGAAGAAAAAATAACTGGCTAGGTCATATATTGCGAGGAGAAGGATTAATGCGAGTGGCATTAGAAGGAAAAATTGATGCAAGGAAACAAAGAGGAAGAAAAAGAAAAGTATTGATAGATGATGTTTTACTAGGCAAATCTTATAAAAAAATAAATAAGGAAGCTCGAAATAGAGAATGTTGGAAAAGGAGAATTCTATAATTTGACTGCTCTCCACGGACCTGTCCTAGGACAGAACACCCATGAATGAATGAATGAATGAATATTGATATTCTAATAATCAGAGTTAAGAAAAAGATATCTTCGATACATTGTTGAAATTTTGAAAAAAAATATTTATGTATATTCTGCAACAACATATTTGTGATTTCAGTAAGATTTCATAAAAGTAAAATTATGTATTTTGGTATCATTGTTTATTTATTCATTTGTAATGGTTTGTTAGATACACCTCGTGTTAATCTAGTTGTTGAAGGAAAAAATATTCCTATGGATTCCACATGTTAAGATATTGTTTTATACGGCATATGACACACAGCTTTTGTCTAAAAAAATAAGTCAAAAATTTTCCTGCTTTCTATATATGAAGTTGCGATTCCCCTAAGCTAATGAATTCTCCAGCCTTCAGTAGGCTACAAGTAAATGCACACATTATTTAATAAATATTTTGTGCTGAAATACGTCTTAAATACCGTAAAGTATAGTAAATTATGCTATTTCAAATATATATATATATATTTGAAATTTCATGTGTTTATCAAAATATATTTTGTCCTATACAAAATTAAAATATAGTTTAGAAAACGCATGGTGATTCCAAATTTAGGAATAATATTTACAATATACTTAACGAATTAAAAACAATATCCAGTTGCCTGGTTTCCTACCATTTCATTGTTTATCATTTATTAAAATGTATGTTTATGTAATTATCTGATGAGGACACTTACCGAAATATGCTATGAAATTCAATAAAGAATTTTAATAAGGTTCAAAATTTTCGAAAATCATGAAATTATAAGAAATTAAGCCACTGGATATTCTTTTTCAATTGTTGATTAAAACAAAAATTTTTGGCTTGGCCCAGCCTTCGATGGGCCAATTCCACAATCAATGGCGAGTTATAGCTTCATGGGACCAGACGAATTTGAATAAGGGTCCCGTGTACAGCGTTGACTTTAGGAGACTAGGCACGAAACGTCTGCAACCAATCGCTCACGAAAACGATCCCGGAGTTTTCTGCTCCGACATCATCCTAAATAGCCCAGAGCAATAGGCTGACGCTTTAACAGCACCAGTTATGCTGCCGACTAAGTTTAAAATGAGAATTTACTAAAATATAAAATTTTAAACTTATTTAACCCATCCTGTATCTTGTTTTTAGAAAATGTTTTTTTATTTTTAAACTTTACCTTATTGCCGANTGTATTCCGTTGAGAATAATAATATACAATATTAATTAAACAGTGTAATTAGTTAACACAAGCCTACCCTGCTCTTGAATGTCTATCAATAAAAGAATTTAAATGAATTTTAATGATGTATACTTACAGGTGGTTCTTGAGGTTGTGGAGAGATAAACACCTGTAACATAAAATCGACATAATCAATATAACACGCATTAATAGATACTATTTTATAGGATTGCCAGTAGCGTAACAAATGGAGGGGGCTAAGAGGGTCAGGGTCCACTTACTTTTGTAAATAAGTGAATTAAAAAAAATTCAAATTAGTACAGGGAAAAAAATTTGAATGCGACACGTGTAAACAATATTAGAGTTTACTTTTTATCAACAGTGCTAGTGGCTGCATTCACAATGGTACAGGGTGAATTTAAGTTTGCACGTTGTAATTCTGATCCCCCTAATATTATAACCGAACAGGGGCACGAATTACAACGTGCAAACGCAAATTCACCCCTGTACCATTGTGGATGAAGCAACTAGCACTATGGATGAAAGGTAATTACGCTACTGACAATTGCATAGTGTGTAAAAACCAACATACCGTTTGTAATTGCTGATATGGTAAAGAAGGCATCTAAACAATTAAAGAAAATACAGTTAAATGTATATCACTAGGTTCGTTTCTATTTAATTATATTAAGCATTAAGATCTTACAAATTGTTGTTGCTGATTTACTGGATATAATGCCTGAAAAATTAAATAATAAAATTTAAAATGATGTAGTACTTAAGTTATAATAAATGAAATCCTATCTTACATATTGCTCTGGTCGGTGGTGTGGGCAAATCTGCAATAAAATTAGAATTAGTTATAGTAAGAATTTAGAAATTTAAGAAAATTCCCATAATGATGCATAATTTAAATCATCATTAACACTTAAATTATACTTGATATTTCATTAATATTTTCCAGGATAATTGGAATTTATGAAATGTTACTATACAACATCGTATACATTTTTCTTTTACGTATATGAAGTATTTACACCAACGTGAGACAAAGACTTTCGCTCACTGCTTCCCCTCTCGTGCAAAATTTAAAGTCAACAGCTGGAGAGAACTGTGTCCTAAGTTGCTCCTTTCCACATGAATGGCTTGAAGATCTCCCAGTCTTCTGACTTTTGGTGATAGAGCTACTTGAACGCAAAGGTGTATACAGTTCAGCCAGCTTCATTGACCACAGTGACTGACTCATCCCCCATCATGTTTGAGCTATTCCAACTGAAATGCTCTTTAATTCTCTGCATAATTTTGTTACTCGTCCGACGACAGTACTCACAAATGATGGACATTACATTGAAAATTCGTAATCACTTCTTTGGTGTTAGACAAATTAAGCATACAACTCAGAAGCCAACTCAGGCGAAAAATGTAAGTAATCAGGTATTAAAATTTTCTCATTACAAACAAAAATCCCACTTCGTTCTGTGTATTTCTGTGTAAACCGCATCATGCTACTGTAAACACTAAGAGAATTATTGATTTTTCAAATTTTCTGTTACTTTTGGATCACCCTGTATATAAAATTCTAACTATATATGACTGTATATGTGTTAAGTACAGAGTTTTATATAGATACAGTACAAATTCTTTATTAAAATACTGCTAAAAATAATTAATAATATAAGAATATACATAGAGTATATTAAACTATTGTACAATACTTACAACTTGTTGATGGTGTGGGCAATTTCCCTAAAAACAACGTGGAATTGTTAACAAAGTACATAATATGCAATATTGTCACGTATTAAGATGTAGCTAACAAGCTTAAAATTCTAATTATATTAAAATTAATGTTCATTTAACAATACTTACAATTGAGTGTCTTGGATGTTGAGGACAGGCAACCTGTAAATTAATTAAAATAATTAAATAAATATAAATTAAGTTATTTGAAATTAAATTGAGATATTTTATTAATGAAATTATTTATAGTTTTATATAATAATTAATATTTTTAATCTTACAACTTGTTCCTGGGGGTATGCAAGATTCATCTAAAGTAAAAATATACATAAGTACACAAAAATAAATAAATAATTTCAGATTTTTTTTTAAATTAAATAATTTTACTTACGGGTTGATATACTAGTTGATATTGACGAAATCTCTGGAAATTTTAAATAAAAATGTTATTTTAACTATTCATATTATTGAATAAGTTACGAAAATAAAATTAGTAACGATAACACGATATCACAATACAATCGACCCCCTATAACACTGTTGATTTTTCCGTTTTATATGAATTCAATGTTATACGAGTCACTTAGATTTTACAAATACGTGTGCCAGGCTGTGAACGGGCTCACGTATTTGTGAAATCTAAGTGACTCGTACAACATGGAATTCATATAAAACGGAAAAATCAACAGTATTATAAGGGGGTCGACTGTAATTGCTCGTTTCATCTGTTACAGTTCAGTTTAACTCAATTTTATAGCAATTAATAAAATTAATTAATAGTATTTAAAAGTATAAATTAATCCTAAAATGCTTATTTTTTAATCGTTTACTTCTCTCGCAATAAGAGAACCTATTAATCATATTGAATAGCGGATCCAGAAATCTTTAGAAGGGAGTGCACAGAAAGGAAACAATATGCTTTACAAGATATTTTAGTACTTAAGGTACCTGACTTTACATGGGAAAAATCCCCTAAAGGGGTTTGCAGCTTCGCCCAGTGCACCCTCTTAATCCACCCTTGAATTCATACTCATACTCATCATGGGCCCACCAGAGGCCAAGCAATTCTCGTTCCCTAAACACTGGGAGTTCGGTCGTGGGTTTCCTCCTCGCCAAGACCGCATATTTAATAGAGACGGGTTTTCTCCACGTCTGTAACGCCTAAATAGGGACCAGTTACCCTTAAAAAGATCTCCCGAAAGGCATCCCCACTAAGTAGATCGCTCAAGTGTTGCGTTGCCATAAACAAATAACCAAACATACTCATCGTGGATTCGGCTAGACTCACAATTGAGTAGAGAAGTAGTGAGGTACGAGAGCCGACTTATTCGGGACAGACCCACCCGAGAATTTTATGTGGTTTGTCGACAGTCCGAATTCGATTCCGAGTTTCCCAAGAGAGGTATGCTGACGCCTTAACTAAGTATGCTGTATAAACTATAAGCAATCTAAACCAATTTTTGACGAGCTCTAGGGAGGTTTTAATGGAGGTTCTAGGGAGGTTCTAGGGAGTCTCTAGAAGGTTTTAATGGGAAATCTGTCCAGGAAATATCGAGCCCCCCTTTTTTTGCCATTCAGAGTAGTTGTTAGCCTGACCAAATCTACAATGGCTAGTAAAAAGTCTCTCTTAGTATCCAGAAGACGGAAAGAGTTAAAGAAACTAATTCTATTATTCATAATAATTCGCTAAACAGACGTTGTAATTGTAATTTACACTTACATTCATTCGATTCAATGCAGGATTATTCATCTGAAATACAATAATTTGAAATGTTAACATCTTGGAATTTTTTACACTGACATAACACTTCAAGATTAGAGAGTTAAGTTTATTTTGTTCACTACACTTAATTTGAAAATTTTGTTTTTATCATAATAGGTTCTATAAATTTATTTATATTAACTTTCAATTTTACAATTCCTGGTGTAATGGATTTCTGAAATAATATACAGTATTTCAAGGCATTTACTTGAATGGAAATACTGTATTTGAGAAATTAAAACTACACTGTTAGTTCAAAGAATATCTGATATGAAGCACTTTGCTTGCTATTGTTACATTCATGTTTGAATGTATTGTACAGTACTTGTTTTACTTATATTCACTGTAATAAATGCTCTTTGCACAAAGCAATCCCATCTAACACAAAGCTCTTGTATGGTCCTGAAGAGACCTTAAATAACAGGCTTAATGAGAGGAGAGTTATTGTTTTGAATTTCAAGGCGCTGATATATTTAAAATAAGTAAGAATCATACAGAAAATTGATGTCTTTTGTTTCTAAATACGCAAGACATACAATAGAATGAATAATTTGTAATATATTTTTAAGACTCCTGTAAAGGTGAGGCCTAGATTAAGTTATATGACTGTATTGTTGAATTTATTCATTTACTTGTAACGGTTTTATTATACTTACGAAAAGTTGCTGATGACGTGGGTTGATTATCTGAAATAAAAAGTTTAATTTTCAACTGATAAAGAAATTTGTAATAAAAATAATACAGTCGACCCCCCTATAACACTGTTGATTATTCCGTTTTATATGAATTCCATGTTGTACGAGTCACTTAGATTTACAAATACGTGAGCCTTTCACAGCCCGGCATACGTATTTGTAAAATCTAAGTGACTCGTACAACATGGAATTCATATAAAACGGAATAATCAACAGTGTTATAGGGGG